GCTAAAAAAGTCTGGGCTTTACTGGAAGGCGGTGGGGCGCTCATTCAAGTTCATAACAGGAAATAAGCACAAGTGTGTGTAGGGTGATGACTCTGGCTGCCGACCAGAGTCTTACCGTCTATCTCAGATGAGTCAGCCAATTCTATGTGCCAAAGTCACTCTAACCTGATAACTTGAGAAATAATGGGACCATGAATTTGTAAATTAGGCCATAATTAAAGTGACAGAGAATACATGGTCATAGGAAGTCCATCTGGTTTGCTCAGGACTACCCTGGTTTTAGCTCTGAAAGTCCTGTGTTCTGGGAAATATCTTTATCCTGGGCAAACGATGACAGTTGGTGACCTTACCTCCAGGGAAGTGGCACTGAAAATAATATTTTTAAGACAGCTGTTTTTTAAAATTATATTTTATTGATTATGCTATTACAGTTGTCCCAATTTTCCCCCCTTTGCCCTTCTCCTCCCAGCACCCCGCACTCCTCAAGTATCCCCACATCACTGTTCATGTCCACAGGCCACGTGTATAAGTTCTTTGGCTACTCCATTTCCTATACTGTACTTTACATCCCCATGGCTCTTCTGTAACTACCTATTTGTACTTCTTAATCCTCTCACCTCTTCACTCATTTCCCCACACCCCTCTCCCATGTGGCAACCCTCAAAATGCTCTCAGTATCCATGATTCTCTCTCTGTTCTTCTTGTTTGCTTAGTTTGTTTTTTCATATTCAATTGTTGATAATATGTATTTATTGCCATTTTATTGTTCATATTTTTGATCTTGTCTTAAATAAGTTTCTTTAACATTTTATATAATAATGGTTTGGTAATGATGAACTCCTTTAGGATTTTCTTGTCTGGGAAGCTCTTTGTTTGACCTTTGATTCTAAATGATAGCTTTGCTGGGTAGAGCAATGTTGGCTGTAGGTCCCTGCTTTTCATGACTTTGAATACTTCTTACATATCCCTTCTAGCCTGCAAAATTTCTTTTGAGAAATCCGCTGACAGTCTTATGGGAACTTCCTTGTAGGTAACTAACTTCTTTTCTCTTGCTGCTTTTAAGATTCTCTCTTTATCTTTAACCTTTGGCATTTTAATTATGATGTGTTTTAGGGTGAGCCTCTTTACATCCATCTTGTTTGGGACTGTCTGTGCTTCCTGGACTTGCATGTGTATATCCTTCACCAACTTATGGAACTTTTCTTTAATTTTTTTTTCAAATAGATTTCCAATATCTTGCTCTTTCTCTTCTCCTTCTGGCACACCTATAATGTGAATATTGGAATGCTTAAAGTTGTCCCATAGTATTCTTATACTATCCTTGTTTTTTTTTTATTCTTTCTTCTTCTTGTTCTGATTAGTTGTTTTTTTGCTCTCTTATGCTCCAAGTCATTGATTTTATTCTCAGCTTCATCCAGTCTATTGTTTCCCTGTAATTTGTTCTTTCAGTTAGTGTATCCTTTGTTTCTGACTGGATTTTTTTTATGCTGTTAAGGTCAACACTAAGTTCCTGGAATATCCTTATAACCAGTGTTTTGAACTCTGCATCTGATAGGTTGCTTATCTTCATTTTGTTTAGTTCTTTTTCTGGAGTTTTGATCTGTTCTTTCATTTGTGCCACCTTTCTTTATCTTCTCATTTTGGCAGCTCCCCTCTGTTTGTTTCTATGTATTATGTAGAGCTTCTGTGACTCCCTGTCTTGGTAGTGTGGCTTAATGTAGGAGGTATCCTCCAGGGTCCAGTGGCATAGCCTCCCCTGTCATCAAAGCTGGGTATTTGAGGTGCATCCTTTGTGTGGGCTGAGTACACCCTCCTCTTGTAGTTGAGCCTTGATTGTTGTTGGCAGATCAATGGTAGTGATTTACCCAAGCCAGTCAGCTGTAAGGACTGGTCATGTCCACTGACCACTAACCTGTGCCCTTAATGGAATATAAGCTGTGCAGGGGCAGAGTAGTGGTGCTCTGACATGATCTGTAACTGTCCACTGGGTGCACAGACTCTGGGGTTTCCCAGGTGGTGCAGGCCAAAGTCATCCCCATCCTGTGTTCTGCCCAGGGCCACCCTGCATGAGCTATAAAGCAATCTGAAGATGGGTGCTAATTGTACTGGGCTTTGAGGTTTCCAGGTGAAGCCAAACTGTTAACCTAGGTTGGCTGTTGCTAGCACTGGGCCTGGGGCCATTTAGCAAGAAGTAAAGGGGTTAGGGGGCTGGGGGCTCACTGATGCCAGCTGTTGCTTGTTTGAGAGGGTTTAGGAAGTTGTGAAGCATGAGACAAGACCAGCCATTCATATGGAAAAGTCACTGTTAACAGCTTGGGTAGGCCCATAAGTTGGGTGGGACAGAACCTCAGGGTATCTCCAGGGCAGGGCAAATAGTGTGAGCCAGGTCAGTGGAGTCTCAGATATGGCACTCACCTGCCGACACTGTAGCTCGGTCAGGGGAGGGTTCAAAAAAGGAACAATGGCCTCTGCCTGCCTTTCTGTCTGGGAGAAAGCTGTTTCCCTCTTTCACCTTAATGTCAGACAGTTCAGTTCCTCCCTGTTTGCCACCAGTGCCTTTCAAGCTACTACCCTGGTGCTGGAGCTCAGAGGGCATGAATCTGAGTAAGTCCGTGTATGAGTTCTTTAAGAGGAACTGCTTGGGACTCTAGAAGTTTCTTCCACTGACTTTACCCCTGCTGGCTTTTACAGCCTGAAGTTATGAGGACTTATCTTCCTGGCACTGGAACCCTGAGCTGGGGAGCCTGCTTTGGGCTGGGACTTCTTGCTCCAGACATATCCCTCCTGAATTTTTATCTACTATGCATGGATGTGGACCCAGCCGGTTCTGTGTCTCTGGCCCTCCTACCAGTCTGGATGGATGTGGTTTCTTTAATTCAGTAGTTGTTGGACTTCTATTCAATTTTACTTCTGACAGCTCTGAGTGATGGTTGTTTAGTGATAGATGTAGTTTAGTTGTAATTTTGGTGTGGTTGTCTGAGGAGGTGAGCAGTGTTTACCTACACCTCCATCTTGACCGAAAGTAAGATTGCTGTTTTGAAACAAGGATATTCTTTGTATCTTCTGGGTGAATCCATTCCCTGTTGACTTCAGCAGGATCACAGAGGCAGCTTCTGGAAAACCAGGTGCTACTAGTGTTTTGCCGCAACCTCACTGTTCTTTGGGATTAGTCTCCCTGTGCCCAGATCACAGAAATGAGTGAGAAATACCTTTTGTGTTTCTGCTAGCTTAATCCTGAAATCAGTAAGGGCTGAGGTTGCAGGGATGAGTTGGGAGACAAATTTTGGAGTGAGAATCAGCCCAAGGTTTTAGTGGAGGAAGTAGAAAATCCCTTTAACTAGTAGGTTGAAAAATGGTAGCCCCAAAGGATGGAAGAACAAACACTCTTGAGCCTCTTCACTATGTCTGTCATCTGGATAGTATCATATCCCTTCAGCACATATCCTCATTCTTCCACTGCACAAGGAGAAAGCTGTAGTAAAGGCACAGCACTGCTCCTGTCTATTGACACATTCTCAGAGATCTTCAAATGTAACATTGATTATATATAAAAATAATGGTAACAAATTGTAGGAATTGTTTTGGTACCGGTTACTGAACACCTATTAAAAAAACATAATAGTGTCCAGTTAGTGGCTCTTTTTAGATGCTAGCTTTATTTATAGCTTGAAAATATTTTTATTCCTTCCTCTTAAAAATTCTTAGAGAAGTATAGGAATGATATACCTGGCCTTTTCTTAAACAACATGGGTAGTACTTCAGTGGTGCTTTCAATTGCTGAGTTGTTTTCTGAGTTGGTTATGGATTTGTGTAGATCCAGTAATACTCTTGGTTTTGTCTCCTTGGAAACCAGATGAATGTGCTTGTTATAGAGAGAGCCAGGACGGGCTGCCCAGATGTTGGTCCCAAACTAAGTAGAGGGCAGCTGCTCAGGAGCTCAATAATGTGGTGGCCATAGTAACCACTGATTGATTCCCAAATGTTCCTGTCATTCCTAATGTTTATTGTACATTAATTAAAGAGAAAAATTTTATCCAAATTGCTAAAATTCTTTAGGCATTTTGAGGAAACTAGATTTTCATAACCAAATTGCTAATTCTGCCTCAGAATTTAGGAGTTGGTACCCACTCCTCAAAAATGAATAAATGAATTCATCAAATAAATGGATGAATCCAATCACTCAAGAACTATTTATTAAGTAACAAACTTACTGTGGTGTTCAATACTTACAAGGCCATAGGTCGAACTATTAACCCAAGAGTTACAGTCCCAATTTCAGCCTAGGAGTAGAAAGAGACGTCAATTAAATAGTGACAAGATGTCCACTAGGGGAAGTTCAATGAATAAGGGGTAAATGGACTCCAAATGAATAAAATAGGGAAGCAGACTTCCTCTCTACTAAGGGGATCAGGAAGGACTTTCCCAAGAAATTGATGCTTGAACTGAGCTCTGGAGGTTGGGTGGGAGTTAACATGAGTGGGGATAGGGTTGGGATGGCAACACCCTAGGCAGAGGGAGCCGTGTTGGTAGATGCCTCGCGGAGGAGGGAATGTATCATGTTTGAGGAACTGAAAGATGCTGTAAGACCCATGGTTAAGGCTGGGTCTGGTTGGCCTAAAGTAAATGAGATGTAAAATCCTGATGGTGGAAAATAACGGGATTGATGTTTGTATTAAAATTTTTGGATTAAATTCTTAAATGTAAAAGCAGGATTTGTTCTTTAGAGAAATATCTAAAATACATAGTAGAGTACAAAGAAGAAAGTCACTCACAGCCACACCCAAACACAAACCATCGTTAACATCTTGGTTGTTTTTATTCCCAGTGATTTTCCTATACACAGGTTTAATAAAGACATTGAAACCACACTATGTATATTATTTTGTATGGTGCTGCTGTTTTCTTATTAAGTTAAAACTATTAACCCATATTGTTATATACTCTTAACTACCCTTTTTATTAGGGGCATAGTACTTCACCCTGTTTAATCTGTTGAATAGGTTCCACCCTGGTTCTCAGTCCACATGGAAGAAGATCCATGAAAGGGTATGCAGTCTTCTGACATCCCACAGAGCTCGGCAGCACCTAAACAAGGTTAGGGCTTCTAGTCAAACTAGGTCTTTCCTGGCAGAAATAATATGGGAACCAAGACTTACAGTTCATTGGGGGAGACAGACATTAATCAAATAACTGCACACATAAATGTAAAATTAGGACACTTACCAAGGAGCATACATGATGTCCTGGGAGTGTATGAAAAGGGGTATTTGACTGGGTTGGGAGTCAGAGCAGCTCCCCTGAGAAGAGACAGTGGAGCTTGGAACTGAACAATGAGTGGCAGCTAATTTGGAGCACAGCATACATCAAGAGGAGGTCCTGCAGCGAGAGGGAGGAGGGTCCTTTCAAAGGACTTAGAAAAGACAGTGTAACTGGCCCAAAGCACATTCCCTTCTACCATGCACAGGAATTCTGGACCAGGGAAGAACCCAGAGAAGTGTGTGTGGTCTGTGTAAGGCCACAGCGCGGAAGAAAGTTTTCCTAAAAGCTGTTGAACAAACTCAAAAAGAGTCTGGTGGTCTTCCTAGAAATAAATCATAGATTTACTCAAGGGTCCTAGAGTTCACAAACTGGAAACAGCCAGGCAAAACCCTGGTCTTTCAAAGAAGAGAGAAAAGTTAAAATTCTTACAGTAAAAAGTGCATTCTTGCGAATTATCAGCCCCACATTCTTAGCCCTAAGATTTGCCCAGAATGGTTATCAGTCAGGAGACAGCCAGTCAGGATGAAGGATGACAGATGCCAGGTGGTGCGGAAGATGGGCATCAGGAGGTCTGATCACGTCAGTGATCTGGGTGTCAGGTGGATGTATATGTGAGTCCTTCAGGGGTTAATTAGAGGATTATCTGGAGGCCCAGATGCATAGCCAGGCATTGATAGAGGACTGGAAAGTTAAAAAAAAATTAAGTTCCCAGGGTAGTTAGAACAAAAATGGGGTTTTTCCTCATGCCTAAACCCTTATAATGTTAATAATTCTAGCAGTTTGGTTAAAGTGACCCCATTTTATATATTCCCTATCTTCACTCTTTTCTCAAAGTTAATAAGGTGTTTTGGCTTTCTGATCTTTTATGGGGCTGTAGGGAGTGTTTCTGATTCATAGGTAGATAAAGCGAGTACGTTGTCTACTGCAGATGGACAGTCATTAGCTAAGTGACCTGTCACCATTTCAAAAGGATTCAAAAGAAAGGTTAACAGTGCCAGCAGTGGTTGGGTTTCACCATACCATGTGGCTGAATTGGTCATACTGACTTATTTAAAACTAGTGGCATATTCTAGATTTATAGGGTGACACTTATAATGAATAATGATTACTCTAACCACAGGGGTAGTGGACTATTTTACTTCTCTGAAAAGTCACAGTCTTTCCAAGTAAGGAAATCCCTTTAAAATGTAAAAAGACAGGAAGGGAGGGAGAGAGGGAGAGAGAACAAAGGAAGGAAGGAGAAAGAGGAAGAGAGAGAAGAAAGAATACCTATGTACACACATATGTGTGAACGCCACATAGACAGAGTATACAGGATTCATATGCCTCTTAAATGTAAAACTACACATTGTGTTATCACTGATCTATATTACATTATGGGTAACGCAATTGCTGCATTTGTTTTTATTATAGGAAGATTTTACCTCTGAAGTAAATCATACCCTTGAAAAACCAAGCTACCCTGTGAAGAACTACCCAGTTCGTGCACAGAGATATTTTTAAGTTGATGTCTTATGTAAGTAAGCAGCTTAAGTGCTTGTTATCATGATTTGCTAAAATAATTTTAGTTTCCTGCTGACAGTATGAGGTAGTTAGAAAACGTGCTGGACAGATGAGGAAGAGACCTGAGAACGAAGGTCCTCCTTCCCACAGAATGCTAATGACAGAACATGTGTGGGTCTGCCAGCTCTCTTGCCTCTCCTTGTATCTTTGTCTCTCTCATCATCAAATGGCCCCTCTCTTCAGCTCCTTAAACACAGGTTTTTTTCTGCTGGATGCCTTTGTACATGTTGCTCTCTCTGTCTGGAATACTCTTCCTGATCCTTCTTGGGTCGTTTCTGTTTATCCTTTGAGTCCCATGACTTTCTATGATACTTCCTCCCCTTCCGAGGCATACCTTTACCTTTTAGCACCCTGCACTTTCATAAAATATGACACAGTTTGTTGTTATATTTCTTATGGGCTGATTGCTTAAAGTCTGCCCCTTCTACTTGAGTGAAACCCGTCTCTCCTGCTCACTATTTTATAGCTGGCATTTAGTGCACTACAATAGAATCTCATTCAACTCAGGTGAATTCAACCACACCTGTGCTCTCAACGAGAACCAACTCCCACTCTCTTCCTGCTGCGGTCTTTGTATCAGATGACTCTCCCCTGTGGTTGGTGCTCAGTAAATATTTTTTATGAGTGAATATTGAATGAGGTAATGAGGCAACTCTAGAATTCAGATATGTGGCAAGTAGTTGGCCACATAGTGGGGTGCCATCATGTCTCAGGTATTCTCTTCTTCTCCATTCCTATCCCAGGCCCAAAATACTAATAGACTTCATTATCAAGTGCTTCCTGAGTGCCGGGAACTGGTGCAAATACTTCACATGTATTAGTGCGTTAATGTTTAATTCTCACAATCCTATGAGGTAGTTACTATCATTACTTCCATTTTATGGGTAGGTAAACTGAGGCACAGAGCACTCAGCTGCCTTGCTCGAGGTGCCATGACTAGTGAATGGCATAGCTGGAATTGGAACCTGGGTAGTGTGGCTTCATTGACTGTGCTTTTAACCATTACGTTCTGTCACTTCTCCAAACCTAGAGTGTGTGATAGGAGAACCCTGGGGAGAAAGAGCAGAGCCCTTAGGAACACCAGCAGAGTTTGTGGGCATTTCCGGGAACACCTCCCACAGGGATCCTTTGGTGCTGCATTCTGAAGTCCCTCATTTTAGCAATTTTAAAATAATTATGAGTCTTTTCATACAATAAAGGAGTGTGGGATGATGTGCTGGGTTTTAACTTAGTTAGGGTCAGGCTCCTGAAAATCTGGTTTGCAAGCCCCATGCCTGGCCAGGCCTCCCCGCCTCCACACAGAGGAATGTGGAGGGCAGCTCGGTAATTGCCCATTCTGCAGGCTTCTACCTTAGAACGTTCTGCTTGGTAGATTAAAGGATGGATTCTGGGTCACTTCATCTCTAGTTGCCAAAACAGTCCTCTAGGCATTTATTAGGTGGTTATACGGAACATAACTCATGTAATTACCACTTAGGGAACGCCGCCCATGTAATTACCAAATGCCAAATTGCATTGAAATTCAACACAGGTGACAGGTGAGTTACGTAAAGCAGTGAACCAGCTGGTATGGGGATACTGATGTGAGGGGATAAAGAGAAAGTGAGGAAAAAAATTAGTAAATTCTGAGAAAATAGGTTTCCAATGTAACACAAAATTCCATCCAGCAGTCACTGTGCCCGCTTCTCAGGTCATGGTTTCCTGGTGAGGCAGGGGAACTGGAGGGCTGTGGTAGTGAAGGTTTCCATGGCTGTAAAAAATCCAGGAGACTTTGGCTGTTTTAAGCAAATAGGACATTTATTAGAAAGATGCTGATATCACAGTGAATCCAGAGAAGACCCAGACAAGCAAGGTAAAGCAGCTAAAAGCAGGGCAGCCCCAGTCATGCCATGAGTTCAGAAGACAGTCCTAGAGAGGAGCATCCGGTGGGAGACCCAGTAGGTTTCCACTGCATACCTCCTTCCCTGCTTTTCTCAAGGGAGCCCTGCTGCTTACAGAACCATCTTTTAAAAATAGTGCTGCACTGAGCATTCTGCACGTCCCAGTGACCTGACCCTCCACCCCTCCGTGCCACCCCAGGATAAGCCTCTGTGTTCTGTCTCTAGAATGGAACATTTTGTCAGGAATCACAGGGATGATATTGTGAATACAGGAGGTGCTGTCAATATTCAGCTTAACAAACTGACTCAGATACTAATATGTTAAATCATTGCCCACATCAAATTCTACTTTTGATGCCAAGAACCTTTTCTTCTTTTTTTTCCTGAGGCCCTCCCATCTCACTTCCTGGCACAAGTTACTGAGGGACTGGAGGGCAGCACCAGTCCCTTCCTGCCCTTCTCCCCTTCTGCTGTTTCAGTGTTGATCAGCTTTCCCTCTCCTCGCTCCCAGTGATTTCAAGATCTGGGGAAACTGAAAATGTAGATTCTTACCATAAAAAGGCCAGGGATGCTGGAGACAAAAATAATGAGCCCAAAATTGTCTGACCAAGGAATGGGTAGAGGAAATGAGTAGAAGGGGTTGCAATATATTTCTCCTTATTCTGGATGGTTTGGGACTTTGCAGTTTGGATCTCTGCCCTGGCTGGTTGGCTCAGTTGGTTGGAGCATCATCTGGTACACCAAAATGTTGCAGGGCCAATCCCCAGTTGGGGCACGTATAGGAGGCAACCAATTGATATTTCTCTCACATAGATGTTTCTCTCTTGCTCCCTACCTCTCTCAAATTAATAAAGATATCCTTGGGTGAGGATTTAAAAAATCAGATTATCCCTTGTATATTTTAAAATGGTTAAAATAGTGAACTTTATGTTGTGTGAATTTTATCACAAAAAAGTCCCATACACACAGACCCACAGACACACACGCTATTCCTAGTTCTCTTAGAAGTCATGATTACCCTGTGTCATGGCTCTTCCCAAGTGTATGAGCTGATTGCCCATGTCCAGTATGCACTTGCTGAGATCCCACTTTCAAGGATGGGCTTATAAAGCCCTCCTCTGTGAAACCCCCTGGTCCCTCAAGCAGAGCCGGGGCCTCTGCCTTTTGCTCCTCCACATGCCTCCACTTAGTATTTGTTTCCTTCAGCCTCGTACTGTAATTGATTTTCCTTATGAAAACTTCCCCAAGAAGGGGATGGAGGATTGGAAGGGAAGCTCTGTGAAGGGAGGGGAGACTGACCAAATGGCACCAACTCTGGCCCCACTGAGTGGTTCATACCTGGGAGCAGTGCCCTGTGGTCCCAAGTTCCACCACCATGCCTGGCCTTCAGGGGGAGCTAGTCCACTTGTAAAGCTCCGAGCCAGAGTGAGCAAGGAGCGCAGGCACAGACAATGATCACAGCACACAATTTTTCTAAAATTAAAGCATCACCGAAAGGAAATAAACCAAGAAAAGGAAAAGAGAGGCAAAAATTAACTGAAGCCCTGGTTTCTGATTTTGTCACAGCTCATTAGGCCTCCAGCACCTAAGATAGTGGCTAGTGTGGCCTCCAATCTTGCCTCTCTCCACTGGCAGGCAGGAGCTCTTTTACTTCCTCCCACAGGGGCTGCCTCACCTCCACCACAACCAAAGCAAAAAGCAAGGCAGACTACAGGCTCTAAACTCCAACTTTGGGGGTCCTCCCTCTTTGATTTTATCACCCGGTTCTGAGGGATTTGTCATTTGGTGGCTTGTGGGGATTGACTCAGGGAAGGACAGCTCATCTCCCTTCATCCCAGGAGTCCAACAGACCCCTCAGGCCGTGGCTGTGCGCCCAGTCACGAAGCAGATTCCCGGGTCAGCAGTCCTCCGTGAGCATTAGAATCACAGGGAGGGGGAGGAGCTCTGAAAAATACTGACGCCCAGGCTCCACTTCAGACCAATTCAGTTGGTCTGAACTGTTCTTTAGGGGATTCTGATGCACGTTTAGGCTTGAGAATCTCTGCAGGAGGCTGCCAGTACCTTGAGGATGGGGACTTGGAATACCTCCCAATCCTAGACTGTCCATGCTCAGAAATGATTGTCCCACAGAATAGAATTGATGGGGGGCATGCTTGACAGTTTAGCTCAGTGACCCCTAGCAGTTTCTGCTTGTATACAGTGTACCAAGGACTATACTAACTCCTTACAATAACTCTCGCCAGAGATGGATACTCTGCTGATTATCACCCTTATCTTGTCCAAAGAGGTCAGGTACCTTGCTCAAGACCACACAGCTGCTTTGTCATGCCAACTAATACTGCCTCATTCTGCATTGGAAACATAGGACAAGGGGCCCAGACACCAAGTGATCCCAAGGAAGAGAGACATACCAAGATTAGGATAGAATGAGATCATCATCTTCTCCTTGGTTGTGTTGATTGGTTGCTCTTTTTCTCAGTCCCACCTGTAAGGGAAATTGGAAGAAAGCTGGAGGAGCATCATGAAGAACTTTCTCACCCAGGCAACTGACACACCCTTAGAGAAATGAACAACAATTTTTGTTATGTGTATGGAGTTGCTGGTGTCTAATCCTCTTTAAATCAAACCCTGTGCTCAATCTTTTGTACCCAGGTAAGAGTTGTTGATTAAAGTGTTCATTGTTTGGGGCTCATATTTTCTTGCGAAGCTGAAAAATCTGTGTGTTAGTTTGTGTGTTTGTTTGGAGCTTGCAATAGAAAATACCAATAGTTGAGTGGTAGGTGCTTGGAAGAAAGTACTGCTTAGAAATTTACTGAAAATGTCAAGATGCCTTTTCAGGTATTCCTCATTTTTTCCATGGAGTGTCCTTGAAAAGTCCTTTTTATTTTTCTCCTTCCTTCCTTCCCTCCCTCCTCAATCCCCTCCCCCCTTTTTTCCAAATCAACTTACATTTTACATCAGCTAAAGGAAGCTGCTATTTAGAGGAATAACCTGATAAATTCTCTAGGAAAAGATCGCCAACCTGATTTTCTTTTTGGTAAATCTGTTTTTTTGTGTTGTTTATTATTATTATCACTTTTTAGTGTTAGGCTTTATGTACATGAAGTCCATTGGAAATGTAGGCAAAGGGAGGACTGCATCTGGAATTCAAATCTTACTTTCAAGGTTTAATTTCTATGATACATTTGTAGGAAGAGGCTAATTTCTTTGGACTATAGTTAAAACGTGTTCTTTTGTCACTATCCCTCCTCCCTCCTCTTGTTCAGCAATTCTTAATAAATTTACACGAGGAACAACAGCTTCCTCACATATTTCTCTGAAAGATCTTACTTTGAGTAAATAGGCTTTGTAAATAAGACTGCCAAACTGAATTTAAAATCAGTTAGAAGGGTGTCTAATGAATTGCTTACACAGTTTGAGGGAGCACGGAGAGAATGGAACAGGATGACGTGGAACCAGAGGCACATTTGTCTTCATGGGCACAAACCCGGAAAGAGAGGGCCTGAACATGGAAACCTTTGTCTTCCCTCCCTACTGTAAAGTGAGCACTTTCCTCTCCCATCCCCTGCAACCATGGTAGCTTTTGGAAGATACAGTGAAGAGTCAAGTTTTCTTTCTTATTATGACCACAGGAATTGGTTCAGTAGGTAAATTGGGGAAAGGAAATTCAAAATTAAAGGAGAAAAAAAACCCTCCCAAAACAAAAACAATAAAACAAAACTCATTTATCCTCTTCTCAGAATTTCAGTCAAATAAAGGTATATATCACAACAAACACGGCACCTTTGGAAAACAGACAACATGTTTAAATTACACCTGTTTATATGTCCTCAGAGTGTCTGAAACTATAGTTGTCAATTTGTTATTTTCGTGTCTAAGAAGTCATCAAAAATAAAAAATACTGTATTACATTAAGAATGAGGTACAATTCTTGGACAAGGGCCACTTACAAAGGAGGATGTAGGAAGTCAATTCTAATCAATTGGTACCCCGTGTCAGTTGTTGCTCAGATATACCCTGTGACATTCATGTTCAGTTTTTTGAGCATAACTTCTTAATTCAATTAATGGATAAGATCTTAAAGACTTTTTTAAGACTTTTTTAAAAGTCTTTTTATTGTTGTTGTTTTTCACAACTCAATCTGCCCTTTTCTCATTTTCTGATCTGCTAACTCTATTGTTTAAATTTTTCCTATTTTACCTTTTTATTTCTCCAGGAATTATTTTAGTTTTGAAGAATCATATTTGGCCAGGGTTGCAGTTGAGACCTTTTGCTTTTGGAGTATATAATAACATGAAAAATTTTGTAACATACTGGGGTTTGGATTCCTTTTGGGAAGATCTGTCATTAAACATAATAAAAATCCCCACTTGTCTTCAATTTATTATTCCTTTCTTGACTTTCACAGTTGCTGATCTATCAAAGCCTGGACCATGTTTTTCAAACATGTTTCACAGGATCTGGGTTTGCAGTGTCTCTTGGGAAAATCTCCCTCATGGAGCCTGGGCCCTCTAAGCAAAGCCACCATACAATGAAGCCATTTCCCTATGGTCACCCAACTGACCCAAAATTAGCTGAAGCCTGTAGACCCTGAATTCAAAAAAAGTGTTGGTTTGAAATGGAATGTAAGACAGTCTGTTAGGGTACATAACCCGCTGTTCTCTCAGATCGCCAGCCATCCGAATAAAGCACCCATAAAGATTTCAAAAAAAAAAGAGAGAGAGTTTATATGGTTACTTTAACATAAAAGAAAATAGTTGGTTTTAAATGTATAATTAGAGGATGGATGGGTTATGTGTGCAAGTTCAGCCTAGTCCCCGAATGCCTGGCCACTCTCAGTAATGGCCATGGCTCTACTTGATTAGCTCCATTTAAAGAGCCCTCTGACCTCTCTGAGGGCAACCCGAGGAAAGGCCCTGTTCTCTAATCTGTGTGTGTGACCAGTGAATCTGCTAGTACCACCTTATGGGACCTCTGTGCATCTCTGAATAGGGGACCCATCCCAGCCCTCCTTGGGAATGCACAAGTGTCCCCTCTTGCCTTCCCCTGTACCCAGAACTCTGCTGACTGGGGTCTGTTCCCTCCCACTCCTCCACACTGGGTTTAGGGGCAGCAATAATTTGTTCATCAGAGGAAAGAGCCTGTGCTTAGTTTCACCTTTAGAACTAGGAAAGTTGGCAAAAACACGGTCGTGCCTAAGCTATGGGCTTTTTTCTGATGCAGATGGGCCCTTTTTAGGATGGCTGGGTTGTTGGAGCTTCTTCAGCTTCTTCAGAATAAGGAGCTCCCACTCTGAAATTTTCCCCTGGAGATTCTGTATCTTCTAGAGTGATCATCCCACACCCCATTAAGTAAATACATTTTTCTATTTAAAAGTAGTTGAAGCCCATAAGAATCTGTGGATGAGAATCATCTGCTGGAGCTCATTTGCTCTCTGTGGTGACCACAGCTCTGTCTCCTCTCTAAGACCATGAGGGCCAATAGGACAGACAGAATACATGATGTTGTATGGCTGGGTTTGCCTTGTATGTATGGGAGGGTCCCATGGAGGAGGGCACTGGTCTCCACAGCAGGAACTCTGAGATGGCGGCAGTGAGCGACTCAGCATTTCATGGCCTGCCCCAGAAGTGATGAAGGGAATTTGAGGGCTGTTAGGCTGCTGAATCACCAGGATTAGGACTTTCTTTTTCTTTTAATTTACTGATTTTAGAGAGAGAGAGGAAGGAGGGGGGAAGAGAAGGGGGAAGAAAGAAACAAATTTGTTGCTCTACTTCTTTATGCATTCATTGGTTGATTCTTGTGTGTGCCCTGACCAGGGTTTGATCCCCTACAATCTTGGCATATAAGGACAATGCTCTAACCAACTGAGCTACCTGGCAGGGCAGGGCATGGATTAGGACTCTCAAATGAAGAGGGAGAAGGAAGACCTTTGGTAAGCCAGAGAGTTGGCTCCAAGGTGTAAGAGAGTTGAAATACATGCGGTAGGTATTGGGCCTTTGTTTTGTGATTGGTTTTGGGTCCTTTTGAACAAGCCAAGGTTACTGAATGTCCTTAGCCTGGTGTGGGAGATTTATTCTAGGTTCTTCCACAGGGGAGGACAGGACAAGAACAACATTGAGGGGCTTGGGAGAGCAACAGTCTTTTAAAGACCTGCCCATCCAGCCTTGGGAAACCCGGAAACCCAGCAAAGAAATGGACGAAGGCCTCTTTCTTCCTTCCCCCTCTTTTGCTTGTTTTTCCATTCCCTTGTTTAGTGCCTCAGTTTTCCAGGCATTGTGTAATGCTTCTTAAGAGTGCTATTGTATAGGTATGAAGGCTGCAGGCTCTGGAGTGAGAGCACCTAGATTTGAATCCTGATTCTGTCATTTAGTGGATGAGTGACTTGGGTAAATAACTCAACCTCTTCATGCCTCAGTGTCCTTCTGTGTGAAATGGAGGCAAAATAAGCATCTACTTTGTAACGTCATAGATAGATGAGTCAACATATTTAAAACACTTGAAATTAGTGCCTGGCATAAAGTAAGCACTCAGTAAGTATTAGTTTTTATTATTCTCATTAAATTATTTGCAGAAAGCATTTTTCTTTTCTTTTTCTTTTTTTCTTTTTTGCTAAGGAAACAGAGGCTCAGAAAAACAAATGTGTACCAGAGGCAATTTCCAGTCCCTGGTTTGTCTTGTCTCCAAATCTCCTGTTCTTTCTACTGCCCCTTGGTTGTCACCTGATTGTCCCTGAGGTTGGTGCATGCTGGATAATTCAACCTGAAGGATTTAAAAAATGAACTGATTATTTTAGTAGAGTGACAGGGCAATTAAGGTTTCTTGACAGAAGTTGGAATGAAGTTAACCATCCCTTGTTTAGGCCAACAAAGGATGCTTTCTGCTCTTATTTCCTGTCATTGGAATAGTATGTTTGTAAATAGCACTTTTAGGAATCCCCCCACTCCACTCCAAAATAAATATCTCTTTCTTTTCCTCCAGGAATTAGCACTCAAATTGGTATCTTGAACTGAGATAAATATCACCCCTATTTTAGTGCAATGACTTCCAGGAACAGACTGTGTGTAAGAGGAGCCATTGTTGGCAGTGCTGGATTCATGGTGAGAGTTCCTTCTCACGAAAGTTCTTTTGTCATTGCATGAGGAAATTCAACACAGGCGATTGATGACATCTCTTGTTCACTGAGTCATGTGGCCTCCCAGCCCTGACAAATAACTAAACTGATTCCATAGCCTCGCATAGAATCACTTGTATTTATTAAGCTCCTGTTATGTGCTCAGTATTGTATTGGGCCCTGTGGGGTAGAGGACGAGTTATGATAAGGAGTGTAAGATCCAACCTGTGCCCTCTGGAGTCTCCAGACTTATTAAAGCAATGAGATGTTTCAGGTATGACTGTCAAAAGGCATTGCAAACTCAAATGCCTTCAGGACCAGGCAGGGTTGTGATTGTCAGAAGCAGCGGGGTTCAAAATAATGGTGACTCCTGGGGTGTTACTCCACTTCCTTCA